CGAAATTTGAATAGGATCTCACAATTCCTTCAGTCTTGTGTATTGCATGAAGTCCCTCTAAAATACTTCACATTTAACTTTAGTTAAAAAATAAACAAATAAACCCAAGAACTGTACATTCTTGATCCTTTGCCTTTAAAGAACTTATGATCTAATGGGTATGTCTATGCTTGAATAGGATTTTCGGACAAAATATTATGCACTGTCATCAGCTAGCTATGCTGAAAGTCCCATGACTTTAGTCATCTGAATGGAAACTGTAGGACAGTAGGACCCATGTATTGTTTACACCAATTCAAATGAACCACAGTTGTAATAATGTCCCGGCCAAGTCAACTATGTGCAGTAAAAATGTGGCATAAAATGGTTAATTCTTAATATAGGTCTAGTGCCTCACTCAAAAACTATGTTGCACACTCTATTTGGCCTCATGGGAAAGATGTTTGTTCAAGTATTGTGGGGATTTTCTCTGGGAGATAAGCCCAGGCTTCCAGTATTCAAAAATATTCGTCATACTTTCTGACTCAGATAAGTTACATCATTTTGCCTTATTGCTGAGTCTACCTAGACGTTTCATCAGTGATTATCTTCAAAACTGGGCCTTGTGGCTAGAAGTAGAAACTACATGTAGCTGCATTTAGAATGCAGTTATACACTGGAATGATAATAGGTGTTTTTTTTTCATAAATGCTTATTTGTCATAGGGAAAGAAGGGGGAGTTAGTATCCAATGGTAAATCAGAGGAATTTCCCTAGATGAATATAGAATATACCTATTTTTTATAACCAGTATAAGAACTCCAGTATGTGAAGTCATTTTTAAGGCTACTCCAGGTAGCCCCAAGTACTTCAACTACACAGGATTAGAATGACCTTTTAGTATTATTTGAAAGAATGCCAAAAGGTTATATTTGGAAATACGTGCTCAAGAATTGTGGAATTATTTTAGCACTGCTACCTGCTTTGCATATGAAAGGTCTTTATGATATTTTCTTCACTTTCATCATATATACATCCCTACTGCTGGTTCTATAGTACAGCATTATAACTTTTTTCCTTTTAAATAATAGTCCTTTAACATCTGAAAGAAATATTATGCTTGTTATTTCAGTATTAGAAAGATCATTGTTGACAGGAAAAGAGAAGACAAGTTAGACTATGACAGGTATATCTACCACCTACCTAGAATATAGAACTGTATTACTATGTTTTATTGTGAAAAATAATAAGGTTCCTGATGTATATTTTTTTGTACAAGTCTGGTGAAGTTAGTTTCTATGCAGACCTGAGAATTTCCCTCCTTTTTTGAAGATCATTCAGACAAGTTTTACTATCACCTAAAAATTTGTTGTCTTGTTTTAGGATCAATATTTCTGTTTGATTTTAAGATAAAGGTTTAGTTTCTTGGGCCATCACTGCAATAGGCAGAATTCTCAGATGGCCTCCAAGATCTTCACCCCCTGGTGTTACACT